TAAGAGGTTATGCTTTATGATTTATAAATTTATGGAGCCAACCGCTGAAATATGTTGAAAGAAGGAAATGATAGATGAAGTAACATTTTAATGTTCCCAAGTTGAATTTTTCTTCGGCTTGAGCTACTTCTCAAGAAGTATTTTGGATAATCTGTCACTGGATAGTCCTGTTCAATCTTGTGGGAATTAATGCCATAGCGGCCTGTTAGTATGATTTATAAGTAAGTTGTTAAGAACATTTACAAGTGAGTTGTTAAGCGTTTATAAGTAAGTTGTCATTTGCAAGTAAGTTGTTAAGATATCACATATCGTATGTGCCATTCCTAATTTGTTGACACAGTGAACATATTTAAAGAAATCGATTTCTGTATCTCTCTCTGTATGATTTCCTTGGTGATTTATCCTTAACCAAAAAGAAACAACACCCCCCCCCCAAAAAAAAAATAATTAAAAAAAAATAAAAAAATCCCCCAACAATTGAGCACACCACACCATCCGTCCTAATCTGGCAGGATTTGTTTCGTCTCTATGTAGGGCAACTTGGAGCTGATGGAGTGCCTGGTGGCTTCGGGCTCCGACGTGAACGTGAGAACTCCCGCCAATCTTCAGTCTCCGCTCTTCACCGCTGTCTCTCTCGGCAAGCTCCGTGCCGTGCAGCGACTCGTTGACCTCGGAGCTGACGTCACCTTGCCCGATGTCAAAGGTCACACAGCGCTGCACATGGCTCAGGCAAAAATAGGTGGGGAATTTTTTATATGAAAAGAATTTTGTTTGTTTGTTTGTTTGTTTGTTTGTTTCTATTTTCTTTCTTTCATTCTTTCTTTCTTTCTTTTTTTCTTTCTTTCTTTCTTTTTTTCTTTCTTTCTTTTTTTTTTATGGGTGCCTGATGTTAGTTATTTGCTTGACATAAGATTTTTGGTATTATCAGTATGGACACCTTGCGGGCTTTGGTGCTGGGGGGAACTGAGCACTTATGGACCTGTCCGGTGTGCAATGACGTTGTTGCCCAGGACAGGTAATACAGTTAAGATTGTTAGACATTGCTAGGGTTGAAAAAACTCCCAAAAAATTGAAAGTTGTTACTACTGCTACTGCTGCTTCTGCTGCTGCTGTTGCTGTTGCTGTTATTGCTGCTCCTGAAGAAAGGTGGCTAAATATGTATCCTTAAATGTGATTATGATAATGATGCTGATAGCATATTGAAGTAGATTAGATAACTGTGAGGAGAATCTATGAAGGCAATGATGGTGGTGTTTGTTAGCCGTTTAGTTCGATTGTAGCGCTTGCACTAGATCC